CTGATGGCAAAGGTCTGTAAATTACCCCTGCAATCACCAACACCATTTCACAGACCTGTTCTACTTCTACTGGTCTGCTAACAAGGCGATTACACACAAATTACTGAATGCCTATGAAATATTTAAATGCATTCTACTCTACTATGCATTAATAAGAGCAAAGCAAGCACTGGAATTCTGGTGAGCTCCAGTTCCTAATGTCCCCTAATGAGCCTCTTACTGTGACTGCAGTTCAAACAGAGAGGTGAAGAAAAAATGCAAAGGGTGCCTTCAGAAAGGCAGCACTGAACAAACATTGTGCAAGCCAGTTCTAATTTATGGGTCACTTTATAGGTATATTGATTTTTGTTTTCAAAATGGAATAAATGATGTGGTCGACTGATGTTCTTTCAAAACTGCATGAATCTGAGGGTGAGCTGCCAGACTTGCTCATGGAAAAATATAAATACACAGTTGCCTTTTCTAAAGAATTTTTTAAAAGGATTCCAGCATGACCAAAATTAGTATAAGAATGACTTCCCTTTATCAAGTGTTTATTTTTCTTTTTTTCTGAAGCTTTTGGGGACTAAAAGATAGGATCCCCTTTACCCTGAAAACTACAAATTGTTAACCTAATCTGATGGGTAGAATCGCAAATTAATTACAAAGTATGTCATTTCTGAGGAAAGACTTGGAGGGTCTGGGATGCTTTCAACAAAACATTTCACTTTTCACCTCACTGTAGTGTTTGATTTACTTTGCCTCAAAGGTTTCATGTTTAAACCATGAAAGGATTTTAGATAAAAAATGTGTTTGCATTTATGTCACCATACATATGTCACCACTGGTTTAGCTGATTGTGTCAGATGTGTAAGTTTTGAGGAACAATGGCACTGTCACTAAAAGCAGCAACAGTCTGACAAGTTCAAAAAAATTACTTCTTGAGGTCATAACTTAGGAACCAGACAGCCTATTCAAAGCCAAAGGAAATCTGCACTAACTTGTGAGAATGGACATAAATATATATCTTATGTGGGCAGGGTGGGAATGGTGAGTTGTTGAAAGGAAAAATTCAGGTAAAGTTTGATGCCTAATTAATTTATATTACTCCTTCTACTTTATTTGTTTGCCACCTTCGAAGGTTGTGATGATAACAAAAAAGACAATATTTCCTTTCAGTGAGCTGCCCTATTTTATATAGCAGGGCTTTTCCCCTCCTCTCAACACTAATAGTTTATCTTCATACAGGGGGAAAGCACTGGCAGTCTTCATATCTGTAGTTCATGTTTTGTTTTGCTGGCGTCTGTTGTCTGCAGGTTAAAAAACATTTGTCTGCTACATGGAATGCTATAGTGTAAACCTTTTTTTGATTTAAGGCTCTAAAAGTCAAATCCATCTACACTCAAACTGACTTAGGACCAATGGAATGATAATTAGTTTTTCAGACAAAATACACCAAAGTTTTGTCATATGTTATTACACTTTGACATTTATAAGACAGTAATGAAGAACTACTATTAAATGCTTTTAGTGATCTTCAGGGCTCCTTGCTTGGTGACCAGCAAAATGGTTCACTTCTGTCAACACCTGTTTTATAGTTAAATTCCAAACAAATTTTTAAACATTTTTGGCAGCCTTTTAATCAGCCTCTTCGTTGCCTAGGATTCTGTTCAATTATTGTTCTCTCTGCAGTTGCATAGTAATATTTTCTGACCCAACTTTAAATTTTGATGTTTTTTTCTTCTGCCAAAAAGAATTAATTTAACAGAATAGCTTTTGCTGAATGGATCACATGCACATGCAAAATTGTAATCTTATACTTCTTCATCAAGATGGAAAAAGGCCCAGCAAATTCTTAGGGCAGACATCACAAGCAGACAGGATATCCAAGAAATGGTCCAGTTTCTCACTGTGTCTGTCTGAGAAGACATCATGAGGAAAACTAGGTATGTTTTTTTGGAAATAAGAAGCATGTATTAGTAATTACATTTAATCCTTTCTGTCTGCATGCAAGGTGGAATTCTGAAAATTCTAAAAATCTCAGTAGAGAGTAGCATATTTATCCTCTGGCTGAACAGAAATATATAAAAATCATTCTTGGCTAAAAGTCATATTCCATAAGTTATTCTTCACTTCACTCCAAATCCTTTCCATTATTAAAAAAATGAAGCAAAGCCACTCTGTTTTCTGTCTTAATCCTCCTTCTGAAATGCCTCAGGACAGCTGTTTCTTTCTTTTCTTTTTTAGTTAAAAATAAAAGCATGAAGGCATCAACTTAAATCTGGTTCTGAACAAAAGTTAAGAGTTCATCTTATATACCAGAGACTTCTTCAAACTTGTCACAGGAATACTGCAAAAATACACATGACTAAATCTGGGTAGCACTCCTTATGAATATTTGATTCTAGTGCAGTATCCTTGCATTAGTTCGATTAACAAGAATTCCAGTGTTTCAAGCCAGAACCTACAACATTCTTATGAAGATTAGACTAAGAGCAAGGCCTTGAAAACTACTGCCATTAGTCCTGTCGTTCCCTATAAAGTTAATGGATTGGAAAAAGATCTACTGATTCTTTGCATCTAAAAGTAGAAGTTTAATTGTAACAAAAAGGGTATTTTTCGTAAAAACAGGACTATACAGTTTGAATACAAAAAGGTATTAAGGATGATAAATGCAGTAAAAACAGGATCAATGTAGAATTAGTTGTATAATGTTTTTATTTAAATTTAATAGGTACATAAAAAGGTTTCAAATAGAGGTTTCACTGGAGTATAGCAGGCCTCAGGGGGTTGAATACTGTGTCCAAAAGGATGTGTGTGATTTTCACTGATTCCCCCCACAGCACAGCTCTGATTCTCTTCTCCAAGCTATTTCTAGGTGTCCACCATCCCCCAGGAGAAGCATTTCAGGGGGCATTTCAAGCTGCAGTGGGAGATGGGGGAGTCACACTACCATGGATGGAAATCCTTCCACCAGAGAATATTAGTAGGTGGGATCCAAGCCACATTCTTAAGGCTCTATTACAGTCCACCAGGTGTTGTCAGATATAGGAGCTTTATCAAGGATGTGATATAGTAGGATGCATATGGAGAAAGAATACAAGCTTGACAAGCCTAGGATAGATTACACAAAATGGAGCCTTTTGAAGATGTCCGAATATCAGAACAATGGTAAACATAGAACAATATTAATATGGTTAAATTAAAACATTTTTTTTGGTTCCTGTAGGTTATGAAATCAGAGTTCTACAAAAGAACTGAAAAGTGAGCCAAGCATTAACATCACTGGACCTTGGAAGGAGGGAAGTGTTTATAAACATTAATTTTGCTTGTCGAGAAAAGGCTTGAACTAAGTTGGCCAAAAACTCTTCGTATCAATTATGCTTACAACAGTATATGCAGCATGTACGTTGATTTTACATGAAATCATTTCCCACAGTTTATATAAATCCCACAAAGAACAAACAGAAATGGTGTTGATCAAACTCTTTCTTCTAAAACAGGGCAAAAAAATCTGTAAAATTACTGTTTCAAGTCTACCCCACAAAAGCTATTCTCCCAAAATTGATAAATAATAAAATGAGATACGAAGGTGAATATAACCCATTCTAAATATACAAAGGTACACAATGTAAGCATTCCATCTGCCTTACAAAAGTATATATTCAGTTATTTCATAAAGCCATTACGATGCTGTGCATCTGTGCCCTGTTGTTAAGCTGCTGTTGCTATATATCCCGTTGTACACCATTTGTAAACAGGCCTTTCTGATGTTTCTGCCAACATCCTGGCAACAAAGCAGTGCAATTTCAAATGAGCTAATTAACTTAATTGTTGATGAAGCATGAAGCAGTTCATTCACCCTGTTAGCTGCACCATGACAACATAAGAGCCTCAGCTTGTGAAGTTACTCATCTATATAAACCTATCTATAACTTTCCATTAGGATTCCTTGTACGCTGTCACTAAAGCCTGTATAGCTGCTCTCTCAAAGATCACTCCATATGGGGCCGGCCTTCTTGCTCTTATACACAGAATGAGAATACTAAACAATATGAACACAAACTTTACAAAACTGTTTATCTGTTATAACGGGATCCTTCTCTCTTGTACTCATTTAAGAAGACATATGTTACCCGATCAGATGGACCTATGGTCTGACTCAGTATAAAGCATCTTCACGTGTTCACCCATTTGCAGTTAATTTTGCAAATGAAAATGCTGTATAGCGACTGTGATGCCTTGCAGTATGACAAGGCATCCTTGAAGTAAGGCGAAAGTTTGAAGACAGATGTCAGTATGAGAAGGGAGAGTATGTTTTGGAGAAAACACAAAGAAACACAAAGTGTATGTGAATGTTTCATGGAAGGGGGACCTGCTTGAGGTAGGGCCAAAGGCTGTAGCTAGCATACACAGTCCAGGGTCCTGATCCAAAGCTTTCGTTTTGCATTCTCTGACATGAAAGCCCTTGCACATGAATCTATACTGCATACAGAGAGCTGTCTCAAAGCAAAGCAATAGCCCGCTTGTCTTTGAGCTTCATGAGTGCGTTAGAGCCTCTGCAATAATTTCGACCAGCAAACTCTGTTCTAGAGCTGTGACCCTTTCGTATGCTACACTGAAATTACTGACTTTTCTCTTGAGTAACCACACATGAGTGCAAATTATGACTGGTAAAGAACAGGCGTAAAAGGCACATTTATTTCTTGTAAGACATCTATACAATACATATAGCCTGTTAGTGAAAAATATTTCAGAGTTGCATGGATCTCTGATATCAAATGGCTAGGCTTCTCCAAGGGTATATTTCAGCAAAGGGGTAACAAGCAGATTGAACACTGTTCCAGTGCAAGACCCATAGAAGTGTTTTATGTGAGAGAAAGGATAATAAGTTGACCCCCCACAGATGGCCTTGATTATCACATTGTTTGGCACATAAAACAACTGTCTGTGACACTTTACAGTTGAACGTGACTTGCAATCTGCATTTCCATTACTCAGTAATAAAAAAATCAACCTACTTTAAAAACTGTCCAAAATCTTCACAAATACTTTCACATCCAGGCCATTTGCAAACTCCATGGCCGTAAAGAGTATGAGAGGCTCCGGTCTCCTCATGGGATGAGCTGTGGTAAAAGAATAAGGCATCAGATTCCTCTCAAAACCCCCCATAAAAGTTAGAGGCTGCTAGTGCCTGTCAGGTTATGATCAGTGACAAATAGGTCAAAATAGGTCAATTCAGCTCAGAGCAGTCAGAAAAATCTAATTGTTCTACTGAACAGTTCAACTGCCAAGGCTAGATGATGTTCTAATTAGAGAAAAGATGAAAAAAGACAGTATTTCACAGTATGCTAATTTTACCATATGACCTCCATGTAATATTTTACCTCTAAATAACCCCGCTCTACCAAATGGATCAGTCTGCAACAGAAAAGGTACCTAACAAAGACTTATAAAAGTTTCTTTATTTTAGATTTGTATTAATAAAATCACTGTGAACAAGAGCATTAACTAAAGTTTCATTCCAGGGCACCATTTTCACAGGTAGCTTAATGTTGTATATATATATAAAAAACCCATATGCATGATTCCGTTTGAGCAAAAAACAAAAGCAGTATCTGTTGATCTGTTAATTATCAGTGACATATTTTTCTTCTACCTCACTGCTGTTGAAAGGCTCTAAATTTACAAAAGCAGCAGCCATTTTCTGCAACTAGCTAACCTTGATGAAACAACAAAACTGAAAGCACTTATTATTTTAAAATAATGGAATATTATAAATACATTATACATCAGCAATGCAAATAGTTAAAAGGAATGCTACACAGACACCATTTGCTATATATATTTCTTTCTATAAGTTCTCATCATGTCTGGACATGATGCTACAGGTTGGACCCAAAGCAGTCCTTGTGCAAATGGAAGATATTTCTGCACATTTCTGCACAAGGATGGGTGATTTCCCCCCTGAAAATTCTGCACACTTTCCCCTTTACACTGCATACTACACTATTCCAGAAGATCCCTGAAGTACTGGAATAGCCTTTTGGCTGATACAATATCTGCTGAAGATTTTTTTTGGGGGGGGGGATGAAAAATTTGTTCTGTGAGTGGAGCTCCACTTTGTTCTTTGGATCCAAATCCACGTAAACAAATGTACAGAACGTAGCCTCCAAATACTCTTCCACTTGTCCTACACTTCAGAAAATGTCATAAATAGGCAAAGCTTGGACAGTGACATAAGAGCTCTATCGAAAGCTGTATTGCAGTTATTCTAATAATGTGACATTGCTCTAGCTAAACAACCCTAGGTTGCACTTCTATTGCTACACTGCCTTTAATTAGTTCCTAAAAATATATCATTAATAAAAATTATACAGGTACCATGTGAATGCAACTCTAACATAATTACGGATTCAATATATGAATTATAATTAAAGCTTTTGCAAAATCTTCAAAAACTTTATCTTTAGGATTCTCCCAAAATATAGAATCATAGAATGTTGGAGATGGAAGGGACCGTGCAGGTCAACCAATCTCTGCAGGAGCATAGCCAAAAGATAGCCCCACAACATACCCGAAAGATGGACATCCAGCCTCCGCTTAGAAACGTCCAGCAAAGGAGCATCTGCCACCTCCCGAGGCAGTCTGTTTCACTGCTCAACCACTCTTACAGTTAGGAAGCTTCTTATGATATTTAGCTGGTATCGACTCCCTTGTAATTTCCACCCATTAGAGCTAGTCTTGCAATCCGGAGCAAGAGAGAATAGATCTGCTCCATCTTCTACATGACAGCCCTTCAAATATTTGAAGACTGCAATCATGTCCCCTCTAAGCCTTCTCTTTCCCAGGCTAAACGTACCCAACTCTTTCAGCCTTTCCTCATAAGACTTGAATTCCAACCCTGCCTGGTTGCCTTCTTCTGGATACGCTCAATTTGTTCTGTCAGCTGGATATTCCCACAAACAATAGGACCCTACCCAATCTAGATACAATCAATAACGACTCAACCCAGTTGAAAGAAACATGATGCATTCATTGTGATTAATGTATTCCTTTGATTTAAATGGGTCTCAATCACAACTAATTTCAACTGGATTAGGGCTAATTCCACAAGGGATCCATATGATAAATTCTCATCAGAAGCAACCAGATTCACTAGGGGTACCATGATCTTCCTTTCATTTCAGTGTGGCTTCCATCAATTGGTTACACAGCCCCCTTTAAAATGAATGGCGGCACAGCAATAATATTGGATATTTTATGTTCATCAGTTTAAGTATACAACTTGGGAAATATTGGGTTGTATCCTACCACAGCACTGAGCCAAGTGCAAAGCTTTCCTCTAGAGGGACAGCCCACCGGAGAAAGTCTCTTTCTGTCAAAGGCTCCATGCTTTACAGTAATATGCAATCTATTATACTCAATACACAGTAACAAATCCTGTAACTCAGATTGGGAATGTTACAATAATTTCATTCCTCTTCATTAAAAAAAATCATTGAATCTAAAAGACTAGATTCAAAGAGACTAATTGTGTTTAACAATGGTTTGGGTTTTTTTACTGTGTAAGTCTTAACTATGATGCCTATGAAGTAATTTTATGACAGATGAAAAAGCAAATGAGAAATCTCATTACCTGTCTCGTCTTGCATTTAGTACTGATGACTGTCCATTCACTATGGAATGATGAGTTATTGGTGGTGATGCTTTGGAAGTGGTGGAGGAGGTAGTAGAAGAGGAATTGTTAGTAGTGAGGTCTAGCCCTCCATGCTTAATGCCATTGTCTTCCATACTGTGAACTCCAGTAACTTCTTTCCACAACTGCTGAATATCAGCAGGACTTAAGCCAGCTATAAAATGAAAGAGAGCTCCACTAATATAGCAAAAGCAAGAGGTTCATATAATGAGCTCAGTGTTATTAATGGATTAATGCCAACAATAAAAGTGATGCAGTTTTTCCAGTACAATCAACATGCAGTAAAACATAGCTTCATTTTACTTGTATTGGCAAGGACTGGCTTTCGAGCAAGGGAAACCTTTACCTTTACCTTACAGTCAATTAGAGGTCACCAGCTTACCCAATATGCTCTTAGTTAAAACAGTTATCTGAAAATCAAAGCTATATACAACAACTAGCAGCTACTGTTTGAAAGAAGCTTTTAGATGATATTTTCATTATCTGTGGAATCCATTTTTTTTAATCACAACAATGGCTAAATGTACCCAGAGTTCACAAAATTTTTCAGAAGGATTTATTTATTTATTTCAATTCATAACCAATTTATATCCAGATGCAATAAAGACACAAGTACTAGCCTACACTTTTCAGGAAAGTCTGTAAGTCAGGGGAACAAGCTGAAGGAACACTGGATTCCACCAGTTTTAAAGTCTAGGACAGAATTTCACCTGATATACAGTAACTAGCCAGGGCTAATTTTTGATCATACTGTAGGTACTCCTGTGTAATTTCTGAATTGCAACAAATGAGTTATTTCCAGAAGAGCAACAGCTTTCAGACAAGGGTGAGTCAAATGGACACTTCTCTGAACGCACCACATAACTCAATAGCACTACTATTTTGAGAAGCTTTTGTGTGGACAAGCAATTTGACATTCCTTTGCAACCTCTCTCATAGGGAAGAAATAGGCAAATATGGCTAGCATCTCTGGTTAAGATGCCATTATGTCTGAGAAAGCCCAAATTTCTGATTAAACTTTTCTTTTTAATCCATAAAAAGATCCATATAATGGCTTAAAAATCTGCCATGAGTCTTGGCAAGGAAAGTGAACCTATAAATGATGTCAGTAGACAAATACATGAAATTAAACTGTTGCATTTCTTGAATAGAATTTAAGGGCAAAAATGATATTAGTTTTTAAGATGAGGAAGGTAATAGATGCATTCTGAAGGTTTTCTTAAGCTTCGGCGGGGAGGGCGGGGTAAAAGTTGAAATAATAAATAAATACATAAATAATAAATTAATTTCATATAAATATTGCTAAGTAAAGTAAAAAATCAGTAGCTGCCATTAATCATGCTTTGCATACCAAAATGGATTGTCAGTTTTTCTGGCTATTTCCCAATATCATATACCATGTTGTATAGCAAGTTTCTTGCAAAAGAACAGCCCAAACTTTATTTGATTGCACTGTAGTATATGCCAATGGGTACATTTTTATGTGAAACATACTATTAACATAGAGGTACCCTTGAAAAGCAAAATAGAAAATGTTGAATTGCATTAGAAAACTTAAAAATCTTAGCACACAAATGGTTGTCATAGCAAGCACACACGAAACAATGCTATTGATAGGAAATAGTAAGCAAATATATAGTTGTGAGAAATACAAGTTGTATAATTGCTATGCTTTTTGCTCAAGGCAGTTTGTGCACAATTAATTGCATGAGTTGAGAACAATATTCACAAGCAAGATGCAGCACAGTAAATTAGGTTAGTAGAGACTAATCAACTTAAAACATTTGAGACACTGCAATTGCTCTTGCTATACTTACAACTACATTAAATCAGACCTAACTCTATTATCAGAATATAACCAGTTTTTAAAAATTAGCTGGGGTTTCAACAAAACGACTCACTTCCCTCATAATTTTCTAGCTAAGGGTGGGCTTAGAAGTACCTAAATCTCTTTTTTTACTTTGTTTTCCTTGTGGAAAAGTCCAAAAATAAGGCTAGTCTAGAAAGGGCAAAGAGTCTTCTCTATATATCATTGCTCTACGTTATTTGCTAAGGAAATCTCCATCATTAGCTTTGTACAGAAACTATTTTGCTCATGGATCTACATTGCCACTTTGGAATAATTCAACAGTTTCTGCTTTCCCCGAGAAGCATTCATGCTCTCATCCATATACCCAGTGGTTCATGCATTCATTGGGGTTGGTAGTCCCGTCACCAAACTGGCATGATTTCATGACAACGGAGAGCTCTTCATGAGTTGCACAGAAACATGGCTTGTGAGTTTCCCCCCCTCTCTCAGTAATGTCAACTGGAGGTGATGTGAAGTCCTGCTTGCCATCTCCTGATCAGTATAACACAGGACAGTATTCTGATAATTGATGTCGCCTCAGGGTCAAAGGAACAGATGCTTCCCCTGGGAAGCACAAAGGAGGTATAGGACCATATTAATTTGTTTTTTTTCTCTTTCTTGCCACAGAGCCTGGGAAGAAGGTGAGCCCCTTGCAGAAAGAGAGGAGCAGTCAGCCTTTCTTCTTCTGCATTTGCCGCACTTGGGGAGGCTCATACAATTTCTGTCTTCGCTTTGGAAGCCTCACTATGAGCAGTTGGAGATTTAAGGCTAGTGATCATAATGATAGGTCAAACTGTTCAATACCTGTGAATTATACTAAACTGCAATTATGAAGTATGGTAATAGAAGAGTTGTGTGAGAATCTTCATGCTAAATTGAGATACAAACATCTTCTCTATAAGACAAAAAAATTAAACTGAAAATAGACATGACTTTCTACTGGATTTTGTACATATTCTCTTATGTTGTGTAAAATTACAGACTTTGGTGTTCTCCCAGTTTTCTTTACAGTTTAGAACTCTGAAGTAAAATCTTTAATTCACCTGAGACAGATGTTGAACCCCTTTTCATCCTAGAACCATTGAGGTGCAGGGGCAAAAAAGAAGCACTTAATAAAGACTGATACATTTTAATTTTACTGGACACAAAAGTTTTTAAAGTAGTAGACAAACTGTTGTAAGTGAAGGTACATATGTGATTTATTCCTTTCCTGTTGATCCACCTGCCCATAATTTCTACAACAAAAATGAGGCGGCATCACCACCAGCACACCTTGCTTTTGTTTTGAACTAACTACTTTTGAAGGATTTCAGTCTACTTAAAGAAGGTGGGTTGGGGGAGTTTTGTTCAGCTCCTAGGCAGTTTGGTCACAGTGTTCCTCAGAGTTTACTAAATTGTTCAGGGAGGTGAAAACCAGGGAGGATTGTGAGGCACTCCAAAGGGATCTGTCGAGGATGGAAGAGTGGGCGTCAACGTGGCCAATGGGATTCAATGTGGCCAAGTGCAAAGTGATGCACATTGGGGCTAAAAATCCTAACTATAAATACACGTTGATGGGGTACAAACTGGCAGAGACTGACCAAGAGAGTCATAGTAGGTAACTCACTGAAAATGTTGAGACAGTGTACGACTGCGATAAAAAAGGCAAACACTATGCTGGGGATCATTAGGAAGGGAATTGAAAACAAATCAGCCAGTATCATAATGGCCCTGTATAAACTGATGGTGCAACCTCATTTGGAATACTGCATGCAATTCTGGTCAATACACCTCAGAAAGGATATTATAGCATTGGAAAAAGTGCAGAAAAGGGCAACTAGAATGATAAAAGGGTTGGAACACTTTCCCTATGAAGAAAGGCTAAAGCATTTGGGGCTCTTTAGCTTGGAGAACTGATGACTGAGGGGTGACATGATAGAGATTTACAAGATTATGCATGGGATAGAGCAGGTAGAGAAAGAAGTACTTTTCTCCCTTTCTCACAATACAAGAACTCATGGGCACCCAATGAAATTGCTGAGCAGTCGTGTTAGAACAGATGAAAGGAAGTACTTCTTCACCCAAAGAGTGATTAACACATGGAATTCACTGCCACAGGAGTTGGTGGTGGCTACAAGCACGGACGGCTTCAAGAGGGAATTGGATAAACATATGGAGCAGATCAGTGGGTATTAGCCACAAGTTATAGATAGGAACTCTCGGTCTGTGGCAAGTGATGCTCTGTATTCTTGGTGCTTGAGGGGGGCAACAGTGGGAAGGCTTCTAGTGTCCTGGCCCCACTGGTGGACCTCCTGATGGCACCTGGTGTTTTTGGCCACGTGTGACAGACTGTTGGACTGGTTGGGCCATTGGCCTGATCCAACATTGGCTTCTCTTATGTTCTTATGTTCTTAACATTTGCGTGAAAACCTTAGAAGTTGTGGGATGAAATGTTATTAATATGCATATGACATTAATTATTTTCTACCTGAATCTGGTGTGGTGGTATCTATTCTGGCCAAGGGTGTACATTTAGTAATGAGATGAGAGACACTAAACTGAAACTCAACCCAAATAAGACTGAGATACTGGATTGGATCCAACCAAGTTTTCTACTAGTGAAAAAGAAAGGGAGTCCCATTTAGTCACCAAAAGAGGCTACACTGGGAATCACAGGACCTGAATGTGCAAAAACAATCTGTAGTACAGACCCTATCATGCATGACATGATTCTTTCAATATACACAGTTGCCTAGTTGTGTGATATGGGCAATGCACACATCTTCCTGCTTTGGTAAGTGCAACTGGAAACCACAGATTTTTGAGGGAACCTGTTTGCATGTATGAAAGATGGCGAAAGACTGCATTGCTCAGTTCACAAAAAAGATGACTGCATGTATCAAGAGGATCCTACCTCACAGGGTGTCTGTTGTGGGAAGGGGAAAGGAAAGGAGTTTGTAAGCCACTCTGAGACACCTTTGGGTAGTGAAGGACGGGGTATAAATCCAATCTCTTCTCTTCTTCCCATTGTGATTTATCATAATGACTGGGAAAGACTTCTGTTATCACCTTTAACAAGCTTCAAGTGGTTCATCATCTGCAACCCTTCCTTGAGAAGTGTGATCAGCCCACACTGAGCCAAGCACTTGTCGTCTCCGGGTTTGGTTACTCTAATTGTGATCTACATGGAACTTTCCTAGAAGATGGTTCAGAAACTCCAGTTAATCCAAAATTCAGCAGCTACATTGCTTCAGGGCTGGAGTACAATCAGTATTGACTGAACTTTACAGCCTGCTTGCTTGTTTGTGATCCCAGTTCAAGGGTCTGGTTTTGAACTATAAAGCCCTTTACAGCATTGGTATAACTGCCATATTTTGCTATTATAGTTTTAATTTTTTTTAGTTTCTTGAAGTTGCAACTTTTCTGCTGACCTACTACTTCTTGTTATAATTAGTCCTTACTATTTGTTATATGATTTATTGTTTGTTTTTATTGTTTTAATATGTAATTTTAGTTTCATTGTTGTAATAGGTCCTGAGCATCGTTGTAAATAGGCAGGATAAAAATTGCCTTAACTAACAATATTATTCAAGTTGTTTGTGATCCCCCCCCCACTTAGTGAGGTTTCAAAACTTTTCTTTTTTCATGGCAGCGAATATTCTTTTGACTATACAATAGTACCTACTGAGTCAGACCACTGGTTAAATGAAAATGGTCCCCATTCACACAAAAAAAATGGGTTACCTAACCTCAGTGTAAATGAATAAACCTTGAAATGTTAAGATGTGATATTTCCTTTTCAGTCCATTTTAAATATATAATTAAAAAGGACACCCGGATGCTGCAAATGCCTCTTGATTGAAAAAACAAACACATTGGGAAAAAACAGGGAAAAATAAAGACCACCAGTAGGCTGAAGAATCAAGCTGGTAAAAAAAAACAAAACCCTAACACCAAAAGTACTAGAAATGGAATGGTGATGAGACAAAGCTGCAAAATGGGAATAAACTGAGTAATCTGTTGGCTTATATACCTTGTGGCAGCGACTGGACAGGAAGAGCAGACTGGCCCGGTGGAATGGAGATGAGTCCCTGCA